TTCAGCTGTTTGTTTGATTTCTGGAGTAATTCCCTCCTGATGGGTAAACCACCCTCCCATATTCGCCAATTTTTGGTTACCTCTGTGCTGAAGCTCTGTTGTCCTTTCTTCTGGTCCTTTTTTCTTCCTTTTTTGTTCCTTTTTGCAGAGGTAACCCAGCGCGCTGAATTCTTCCTTTTCTTCCTTTTGGTTTTGGTGATATGGACACCCCCAGACGGGTTCCTCAGAGCTGCTGCTCCTGGTTGCCGGTAACCCGCTGAAGTCCCTTATCGGACGGCCATTTGAGGTGTTGATTAAGGCACGAACCCCACTCAGACATGAACGAGTGCCAGAGCAAAATTGCCGTTTATTCAAACTGCTTAGGTTTAAATACCACGCTTGAACATGTCACATGACCTTCCAACCAATGACCATCAAATATTGTCTGAGAACCCAAAAGACTACAACTCCCATGGTTCCTTGTTACATTCTTCCTGCCACAGAACTTAGGTGTGTAGAGGGATGTATTACTGAGAGAATTATCCACTTCAGCGGGGTACATTGATTTTTGATAGGGACTGGGTCTGCCAGAGGTTCCCTTACTACGGGGCAGCTGGGCGCGGTGTTGGGCGCAGGATGGAACGAAGGTGAGGGGTTACTTCTGTCAACGCGCCCCCCTGAGCGCTCTGCTCCCCATTTCCCGAATGCTCACAAGAGCACAGGCGAAGATCAGGTAAGGAGTTAAAGGTTACCTTTTTCCTCAGCCCTGGGGATTTCCTGGGGGGAAGGGGCTCACCATTGGTATCAGTCAGCAATCTACAGCTGGAGGACCACTGACGACCCTTCCCGCACCTCCGGCAGAGGGATTTCGGTAAATTAGGTTCTGGTGTTAGCTTGGGACAATGCTTTTTGAAATGCCCCTTCTGTCCACAATTAAAGCATGATTGGGACCCGGTAAAAGCAGCAGCCAATAGACGTGCCTTATGGGAGTTTGAGCCAATATTTTTACATGTGTCTATCATCTCAAGCAGAGAAGGGTCTTTTAACATTTTTAATGTCTTTTGGCAGTCCTCATTAGCTTTTTCTATGACCAATTTGTTAAATAAAATTTCTTGGCTTTCTCTTTGGTGTACTTGTCTACTAATTGTTTCTTTCAATCTTGTGATGAAATCAAAGAATGGTTCTTTAGGGCCTTGATTGATTAGTGTGAAAGAGGGTGTCTGGACATAGGCGTCCGCCACCCTCTTGACTGCCTCTAATGCCAATTCTTTTGTTGCTTCTAAAAATTTGAGTTCAATTCAGGCCTGATCACCTCTGCTGGAGTAATTTCCCTCACCATAAAGCATGTCTATGGCTTACTTTACCGGGATACCCCTCCTTTCCATCTTTTCATTTACATAGGCAGTAATCAACTTTTTCCACTCCGCTTCAAAAACGGAAGATTGAACTGTGGAAAAAAGTCCACCTATCACTGCCCTGATGTCATAAGGTATTAATGTATATGCTAGAAAAAAGGACTCCAGGAGACCGATGGTAAAGGGGGCTCCTAGCCCATACTCTACGATAGCTTTCTTAATATCTTTGAGCATGGGATAGGAGATGGGTCTCCACTCTGGAGCCCTACCCTCCTCCAAATATATAGGAAAAGCCTTTAAAAAATCTGTGTCATTTGCATGTGCAGCCTCCTCCCTGAAGGCTTTCCAAATGTTAGGCAATTTGGACTGCCTCTCAGGAGAGCATTGTGGATGGTCTGTGTCCGAGTCCGGGTAGCGGCAGGTGGGGTAGACCTCGGTGGAATAGGCCCTATGAGTGCGGCCATGTTGCCGGAAACCGGCCTTGACCTTTGCCCTGACCCCGCCCCTCGCTACCCTTTCATCTCTTGAAGATGACCTCTCAAGTGAGGAGGCGGAACTGGAGGGAGAGGGCGTGTGTGTGGGCATGTCGGGGTCCCTGATGTGTGCAGGTGGAGGCGGAGGCAGCCTGGAGGGTGGTACCAAGGGGACCCACCCCGTCTTTTCCCACGCTGATGACTCCCGTGGCGCCCCTTCCCACCTTTGCTCCATGCATTTCCTGTCTCCCTCCTCCTCAACGCCATTTCGAGCATGCCGTGATGACTTTCTTCCCCTCCCGCCATCTTGTGTCGTTTTCGGTGCGGTGGTTGTCTCTGGGAGGCTGCTATTCATGCTCATCATTTGGTGCTGTAGCACCATCAGAACAAGCCTCCAGGCTATTAGCACCTCTTTTGCTGTTCGGGCCCCCCCCCCCCGTCACTGTCTTGCCACAGGCTGTAGCCGATAGCTTGCCATTGATCTACAGAGGTGTCATCTGCAAGCTTGTGACCTTTACAGTCCAGCCACTTGGCGAGTGCCTTTGCAGACTTCTTATCTAGGGGGTGACTGTGCTCTATAATAAAGTCCTTGAGGCGCCTATAAACAAATTTCTGAGAGGTGGACAGTGAGAGTCTTATCTTGGTGTTATGCAGATCTCTGCAACAGTCCTTGGTGGTATAAATCCTCCCTTTCTTGTGTTTTGTGGGGTAGTTGGTGTTGGGGTGGGATATGGACTGTCCCCAGCTGCTCACCTCTCTGGTGCGCTGACCCGTGCAGCTTCAGAGCCCAGAGTCGTCCGTCTAGCTGGGGAGGACCAGCAAGACGATCACTGCTCCTGGTGACATCTGAGCCCAAGTGAGGGCACAGGAGTTCTCTCAATGTGAGAGCCCTTCAACTGTGCCCCACATTGGGCGCCACTTGCCACAGCCCAAAGGGAAAAGGGAATAGGACGCAGCACTGCACAAAGGGTTCGGACACAGGTGAAGGGTCTGGAAGCAATGCCAATTTATTGAAGGAACACAGGGACTTAAATAGGGTAGGTCTGAGGGGAGGATTCAGAACTGGGGAGGAGCATGGGACTGACAACTCAGGGAGAGATGGTATTGGGAGACAGGGGAAAGGTGGGTGTAACTCCTGGGTCTCTAGGGGAAGGGACCAATGGTAGCTCACACTGCACTGCGGCAAACTCTAACCAATCAGTGACAGAGGAGCGGGAAAGCAGGGGAGGACAGGGTGGTAAACAACTTTTGACGGGAAAGTCTGAGGGAGAGACGGGGATAACATGGGGATATATTAAACTTCACATAAATCCAACAATAAACTGGGGTAAAACAGACAGTCTGGTGGATTGATAGTCCATTTAGATTCCATAAATGTCCCTCCATGCTTTAAATCTCTCCCAATCAGTCTTGTTGTTCTCCTCACCCTTTTTCCCCTCTTTCCCTCTGTGGACACCAGGCATGAAAAAACTTGCTGGGCCTCTGTGTTTCATAAGATGTATAGATGTATTTGTTAGTCCCACACTGGTGTAAAAGGCTGTCCTTGCAGAAAAGAGGCATTTTCCTCCTCAAAGCCAGTCTTGGAGCTGCTGGAGTTTGGAGCAGGGAGCTGTTTGTACAGCTCTTAGCGTGTACAGTTTTGAATGGCCAGGCCTGCGATGGTGAGCCTCATCGTGGTGAGGTCATCGGTCATTCCTCTCAGGGCTGGAACAGAGAGGAATGGAGGCTACCGGAATCTGGTGGATTTAGATTTTGGTGTTGGTTTAGATTTCTGGACATCCTTGATGATTTTCAAGGTTTCAACTGCCCGCCTTGAGATGGCAGGGCTGTCAGCAGTCATGCCTTGAAGGGCTGGAACAGAAAAGAATGGAGCCAAGATCAGAGCCAGCATCTGCAGGGACCCGAGGAGCCCCTCCTGGCAGGGCCATCCCACCCAGCTCTTGCCACTGCCAGGAGGGAGCAGGGCCCAATGGGATCAGCCAGAAGGTTCTGGCCACCGATCCCCCCGTCCCCCTGAAATCTCTCTCTATTCTCCTCCTGCCAGCCCCTGCTGACAGCCCATGCCCGCACTCACTGTCAATTATGACCTCTGTGATGAGCTCGTCCTCCTGCCCCTTTCTCAGGTACTTCCCGGTGATCCCTGGGAACACAGACCCTGTCATGGCCTCAGAGGCACAGCTCCCTCCCAGCAGCACTGCCGGCCCGGCCACACGTCCTCCTGCCCTGGCAGGGCTGAGCCCGGGGCCTTCCCGCCTCGGGACGCCCCAGGGCTGGGCTGGCACAGGGTGGCAGCTGCCGCCAGGGCACTCGGGGCTCCCCAGCACATCCCTGGCCCGCATCCTGCTGCCGCTGCAGCAGCCGGGGCTGGGGCCGAGCTGCAGCGGGGTGGGGAGGGACCTTGTGGCTCACCAATGAACCTGAGGGCCAACTCTCGCAGGGGCTCCTGTGGGCTCTCCAGGTATGGCAGGTCCTGCCACATGAACTCCACCACTTGTTTCTTCTCGCTTTCTACCTGGAGAGAGTGGCAGGGTACATTGGGAAGGGTTGGCACGGGCTCTGCCCCTTGGCCGGGCGCTGCCTGCACCCAGCACTGGCCTCCCCTGCCCGCACGGCCCTGAGGCCCGGCCAGCAGCCACTGGGGCAGGATTTGGAGGGAGCAGAGGGCTGGCTGCTCCCTGGCAGCCGCGGGGCCATCCTGCCCCACAGCTCAGCTGGGCCGGGGCTCCATGGCACCCTGGCTCGGGGGCAGAGGAGCCTGCAGAGGAGCCTGCACGCCCCAGGCAAGGCAGCAGCATGTGGGGCGCAGGCTGCTGTTCCACAGGTGGCTGCAGCAGTGGGCAGGGGCACAGTGCCAGCCCCACACACTGGCCGTCAGGGACTGGGGGCTGCTCAAGCCTGGGGCTGGGCCTTCATGGCCGTCCTTACCAGGCAGTCGCAGAACCACCACGGCTTGTCTGCCTCCAGCAGGTTCTTGAGATCCCTTCTCTTCAGGAATCTGAGTGCACAAATCAGCACTTCCCAAGAGGCCTGCAGAGCAACAGGGAGCAGGACATGGCACCACGGCCCAGGGCACAGGACCTGTGTCCCTGGACCAAGACCAGCAGGAGGCTGGAGCCCAGGAGGTGCCAGGGCAGGAGGCAGCCCACCCCCTCCCACGGGGACACCAGAGTCCAGAAAGTCCTCACATCTGCCAGATGCTCCTTCTCATCATGCGAGAGGAAGAAGAGTGGCAGCAGGCTCTGGATCACGTGTGTCTGCAGGGCACACGTGTTTTCCCTCCTCCACTACCAACTTCAACACCTTTCAGAAGAGGTCAATGGAGGGCAGCTGCATATGGATGTTGTCCTGATGGAAAGGAAAAGATCTCAGCACCAGCTGCTCCAGGCCCACCGGGCCACAGGCCTGCAAATCCACAGGCTACAGTTTCCTGGCAGCACCCAGCGCCTGTGGTGGGGGGCACAGAGCCTTACGTAGCCAGAGTGTCTAGAGTGCCTCAGCCAGCTCCAGGGCAGTGGGGGTGGAGATTGGGATGTCTCTGGCCTGGACTTCATTGAGGAATACAGAGAGGGCCATCCTGACCAGCTCTTCATCTGCATCCCACAGTAGCTCCAGGAGGCTTTGAGTCAGGCTCTGCACACCGTCAACCTTTGAGGAACACAGTGCTGTGCTGAGGAACACATGAACGGCTGCAGCCCCTACCCCTCTCTGGTGGGGCAGCCCCATGTGCTGCCACAGGGCCCAGAGGCCAAAGGCCTGTCCCGAGGGACTCGGGCAGCTGAGCGGGAAGGCAGCAGAGATGGCAGCTGCTGCCACAGCTCCTGAAGCCCAGCCAAGCCCAAGCAACTGCGTTCCCCAGCCCCAGGGTTCCAGCACGGCTTCAGCCAACTGCCCCTTCTCACCATCACAGGATCCTGGCTGAGCACCAGGAGGCCTCGGAGCGCCAGGTGACGCCTCTCTGGGCACTCACTCCGCAGGTGCATTGAAAGGCTCTGCAGAATGCTGTCTCCCCAGTCACTCATGTCCAGGCAGTCCAAGGCCTGAAAGGCACGGAGCAGTGATGGGGTGCCCTGCCAGCAGGAGCCCAGACCCAAGCAGGGCTGGGCCCTCCAAGAGGTGGAAGCAACTCGGCCAGGCAGCGCTCGCCATCAGGCTCACTTCCACAAGGAATGCCATGGTGAGGACCTCCAAGTGGGGCTCCTCCCTGCTCAGCAGCTCAAGCAGGTGGAGTGTGATCCGGGAACACAAGGGACCAGAGACACAGCTCATCTCCCTGCCAGGGGGAAAAAGGCACCCATTGACCCTGAGCCTGGTGGGCAAACCTCTCCCGGGATGGACTCACATAGGCCTGGTCTTTCCCCAGGACAAGGGCACTCTGGGAGGCGGCTCCTCCTGTGCACCCGCCTCTCTCAGCCTTTTCCACTCTGCTCAGCCATCCCTCAGTGAAAGGCCCTCTGGCCCATGACCGCGGGCACTGGAGGGGTGCCCCATGCGCAGGCAGAAATGACAGGGGCAGCGGGGACAAGGGGCTCTCACCTGGCCAGCAGACCCACTGCATAGTGGTGGGTGTCAGCGCTGAGGAGCGTGTCCCAGCCACGCTTGCGTTCCATTGAAACCACAACTTCCTCACACTCCAGAGGGCAAAGCAGGGCCTTCAGGCTCAGCACCGCAAACCTGTGTGCAGAGCAAAGCCCAGGTCATGCTGGGAGCCCTGAGCCAGCCCCAAGGGCACAGAAGGCAGAGGAGGACTGGGATGGAGCACCTGTTGGGGTCAGTGGGAAGGTTGTGTTGCTCCCGGCATCCCGTCCAGAAGGTGTCGACCTCCTCTGGCATCTGCTCTGTGCTGATGAGGACTTGGAAGAGCAGAGCCACGAGGAGACGGGGGGAATACTCTATCCATGACTCTGGGAACCGGAACATCTGCAGAGTCTCCCAGATCACCCTGGTTGCCTGCAAAAGATAAACCACCCGGACACAGCTCTCAGTGCTGAGATGTCCATGTGGTAGGGCCCGAGCGTGGCAGAGAGATGCCAGGGAGGATGCAGGGGGAGCACCTGGCCTGGTGCCCCTTGAACCTGCCCCTAACCTACATTTCCAGCCCAGTGCCTGAGGCAGGGAGATGCAGTACTGGGGGAGGATGGGAGAAAAAGCCCTTTCCAGAAACTCACAGCCAGGGCAAAGACATCCGTTTTGTCCCCGTCAGAGGTGGACGTGCTGTGCAGTGCCAGTCCTCCATCACACAGAGCAGCTGTGGCAGCACCTTCACCACTGTCCTTCCCGATGAGGTGATGGTCCTCCACATGATGGCAGCAGCTCTGTGGGACCAGAGTTCTGTGTCAGGGGGGTGCCAGCCAAAGTGCCTTGAGGAGCAGGGAAGGAGCATGGCAGCAGGATCGGGGCTGACATGGCAGGGCTGGGAAACACAGGGGCCAGGGGGTCCTGGAACTCTCTGTCCCTCTGGCTGACCACGTGGGACGGCCAGAAACAAAGCAGAAGTATGGCTTTAGTTGAACGTGGGAGACAGGTTAAAAGAGGAAGGTCTAAGGGAATGCAGGTGGTCAGTCTCCATGAAAGCCAGCTTTTGGGCTCTTAAAGGAGAGTTTAAAATTTAGCTATAGCAAAATTTCCGTGTGTTGCTGGAAGTCACCTGGTAGTACTGTTACACAGAATCTCTAAAGTTGATTTTCAACACATCTAAAGGGTGATGGACTCTAAAGGCTGGTGAGCCCCGAGCTCCGAAGGCAGGGGGTCCTGTACCTGTCACATGATGGGGCACAGTGCAGGAGGGTCACCACAGCATCAGCAGGGTGTTCATCAGTCACTCTCAGAAACTCCGACAGCAGCTTCTCTTCTGGAGTCACGCTGCCTGTCAGTCTCTGGTGCACGTTCCTGACAAAGGCTGGCACCTGGAGGAGGCATGGGGGAAGAGCTGCCAACTTGCCCAGCTTCCCCAACAATCGCTTCCCTTCCCACCACACTATGCTGGCCTCAAAGGCTGAGAGGGCCCAAGACAGCTGGCTAGAGGGGCCACACCATTCCTGGGGACTTGAGCCCTGGCCACAGGCTGCTTACTTGCTTTGGATCATAGACATCTTTCTCCTCAGAAACATCTCGAGGGGGAGCATCATTCCCACTCTGAGCAGGCCTGCTGTCGGTGTCTGCACTGCTGTCCCGACTTGGATCTGGCAAAGAGCAAGAGTGGTCAGAGCTGAGGGGCTGCAGGAGAGGCCAGAGAACACAGCCCAGCCCTGTGTTCCACAGGCAGGGCCAGCCCTTAGATGCCCAGTTCATAGAACTGCCGGGAGATCAGCCCCAGGCCCTCTTCTTCCCTCCGTTTCCCTGGCCATGTCCACAGGGTGTGGGATGGGATGAGCCCACTGTGGTGTCTGCTGCAAAGATGGCCCAGTTCACAAGCTCAGGTTTTGCTGCTAGAGGATCCTACTTTGGGCTTGCTGGACCCCATTCCCTACCAATGCATGGCCCCCCATTGCTCTTGGATCAAATGTTCTGGACTCATGGGAACACGTGTGCCCTGTGTCCATGCCAGAGCAGCAACTGGCAGAAGACGTCTGCTGCCAGTACTTGCCTTGACTGCTCCTTCAGTGGGCTAGCACCTTAATCAGAGACACAGAACAGGTTTGCATCCCAGAGTTCTCCCTATCCCCTTCACTTCTCCCCAGTGCCCTGGATATCAGCTGGGAGTTGCAGTCAGACACAGAACAACTGGAGCTTTGAACATCAGACTGGACAGATTTTATTTTGCAGAATGCAAGGAAAAAGTCCAAATAACACGAGGAAACTTGACAGAATCTCTGAGCAATCTAATCTTCATGTGAAACTCAGCAATGGATGGTGATTTGGTGCTGCAGGTCGTCGCTTCCATGCAAAAATCAATCCCACAAGGATTCCTGCTTCTGCCTTCTGACAGCTGCCGAGCACGGCCACCAATTGCTCCAGCTGCTGCTCCCAACAGCCCCTTGCAAGACTGCAGACATCAGTGCCCGTTGGCTTTGGCTACCCTGTGGCAGAGAAGTCCCCCAGGGGCACAGCTGTGTGGGGCAGGAGACGGGCACCAGCCCTGCCAGGACTCGGGGCGGTGGCAGGTCTCCTTCGGCGAGGACTTGCCAGAGCTGCTGGTTTTGGTGCAGCCCCAACCAATGGGGTGGGAGCAGCACTGGTGCCCTCGCCCCCACGTTCCTTCTGTGTGTCCCAGCCCAATATTTGGGAGGGCCACCAGCTGGGACTTCTCCCATGGAGCCCGTGCCAGCTTCTGTGGAGGCCCCGTGCCCTTCCCGCTTGTGGCTG